CCAGAACCCACACAATGACTAACAACTGTCTGTAACTCTAGTTCCAGGATATCTGACACCTCTTCTGACTTATGCAGGTATTGCATACAAACATGCACCTACATACATGCAGGCAAAACATTCATACACATAAAATTAGACTAAATCAAAAACTAAAACAAAAACTGAAATCTTCATGTACAATGGAATATTACTTAGTCTTTAAAAAGAAGGAAATCTGGGGCTGAAGAGATGGCTCAGCAGTTAAGAACACTGGTTGTTCTTGCAGGAGACCCAGGTTCCAATCCCAGCACCCACATGGCAGCTAACAACTGTCAGTAATGCCAGTCCCAGGGGATCCAACAGCCTCTTCTGACCTCTGTGGGCATTGCACGACATGGGTGCACTTACCTACATGCAGGCAATACACACACACACACAGAAAATAAAAATAATAAATAAAATTTTTTAAGAAAGAAGAAAATCTTACCATTTTCAACAACATGAATGAACCAGGAGGGTATCATGCTAAGTGAAACAAGCTAGTCAGATAATTCTACCTATACAAAGTACATAAAGTAGTTAAAAATTAAGATTTAAAAAATATGGTAGAGCTGGACTTGGAGGCACATGCCTTTAATCCCAGCACTTGGGAGGCAGAGGCAGGAAGATTTCTATGAGTTCAAAGTCAGCCTGCTCTACACAGTGAATTACATGCCAACTGGGGCTATAAGGAGACCCTCTCTCAAAAAGCAAAAGAAAAAAAAAGTATGTAAAGGGTATATTTAATTGGGAGGGCACATGTTTAATGTGTGCAAGGCCCTGGATTCTCTTCCCAGCACCAAACGAAAACAAGTGTTTTAAATAAAGTTTTTATTCTTGGCTAGTATATATAGGGAAAAGGTAAGAAACTGTATGTGTGCAATTTGAAGAATTACTGCAAAGTGAACATGACCCTGTGACCATGTAATATAATAGAATCAGGAAGTAAAATTTACTGTCTCTCAGAAGCCCCCATGATGTCCACTCAGCCACTGCCCCACCTTCTCAAAAATGCAGTCAAGTGGCAAACCCTCTGTGTCCCTAATAGCTTGTTTTCTCCTAGGGGTGGGGATTGCCGCAGAGGATTGGCTTTGGAGAGCTAGCCACGGAGGGAGGGGCTTTCTGCACCATCTTGGGACAGAAGCAGTGAAGGTGAACCCGCGGGGCAGCTGGCATGAAGAGAAAGATAGCCCAGGCTTCTCACCTGCATGGATGTGAGAGGGAACATTTACTGACCTGGGGCAACACTGAGGGACCAAGATGTGTGGGCAAAAGTTAACGGAGACTGTAGTCCCAAAGCAATCTGGGCCGGCAGACCGAGCCCCGCAGAGCTGGGTGCAGGGTGTCGGGTGTTGTTTCTTTTGTAAGTTTCTACATTCCCCCCCTCCCTACCCAAGATATAAAATGAAAAATTCAGATAAAAATGTTATGTGGTGTTGCAGGTTTCCTTGTGGGTCCAGCCCATGAGGGACTGCAAGGAACGAGGGTTCTGGCCGAGGTGGGGGTGAGCAGTGTGGAGTCAACACACAGACACTGGGAGTCGGGTGAAGCAGGCACTAGGTGAGGTGCTGCAGACTCATTTATTGCTGGAAAGGGCAGGCCTTATCTCTCTCTCCCCCTGCCCCCAGTGTCCCATAAGCTGGTATGTCGCTCCCTGATAGATCCCCTCATCCAGGCCACTTGCATCATCAGTCTCTAGGTCCTGGGTCAGATTAGGTTGGCTCTTTTGTAGAAGCACAGGTTGTGCTCTCAAGGCAGAAGCTATGTTCTCTAGTGCAGCCTGTGCTTAGGCCTGGCACTTCCTCTCCTACATGTCCATCCCTTTTTATTATAGAAAGGTCAGTGGGAGCCAAGGTTCTTTGCCTCAACATAGTTGACCCCACCTCAGAGGGCTCCCAGCTTGATGGACTGTGCCTATCTTAGGTCTTCCTGACCATCAGGATCTTATACATCATTGATGACAAGCCCTCGAAGCGTGTGACCTCTGGCATGACCATGTGAGGGAGGTGGAGGTCAAGAAGTTACACAGCCTCTTCTTGGATGTCAGCAAGCCAGACCTGCTGTACCTCAGGGGGGTGTCAAAGTCTGGATCCTCTAGCATCTTGGGAACATGATACATTGAGTAATTTACTTGGTTTTGTCTGCGGAAGTGTAGAACAAGGCATTTTATGAGCAAGAAAAGAATTAAGACTATGATATCCAAGAGTAAATAATTTGTAAACGGGAGCGTATCTCCAGGAGTGAGTGGGAGGCAGTGTTCCCATGGAATAGGAAAGTGCAATGTGGTGGGAAGTTTATAAGTGGGAGGGTGCCGGGTCCATGGAAGACGCTTGACCCTTGGGGGGGGAGGGGTGGTGGCCCCAGGGGACATGAAGGACACTGTAGTCTTAGAAGTGTCTTTTATTAAGGGAGACCAGATTTTGAGGCTCCATAAGGAGCCCTGGCTCAGGTTTCCATGAAAGCTGCCTATTGTGATGTTAAAGAGAGAGTGACAGTGAGAGACATTGGGGAGGAGGGGTTAAGGACTGGGCTGAAGCAGAGTGATGCTGCAAGGGACCACATGCCATTTATGGGAACGGACACATGAATCAATTCTGTGGTGGGAAGATCAAGGTATTCATTAGTAGTAAAGAGAACTGGGAAAGTGGGTGACCGTTCATCTACAGGGAGGATCAGAGGTGGTAAGGGGACCAGTGTCTAGAGAACCGAAGCCTGGGGAGAAGCACAGCCAAAGGACAAAAGGGTGCTAAAGATAACAAAGCCAGAAAAGGATGTCATGTCTTATCAAACTCGCAGTTGGGCCCGGTCTCCAGATGGGCTTCCGTCACTGGTTGGATGTCTCTCGATGGAATCCAGATGGGGGTTGCAGCATCCTGTGGAAAAATACAAGTGTATCCTCATCCTCATGTCAGGACAGGGGCTGGTTTCTGCCACAGGGATGAAATAGGACCAATCTTTGTATGCTGGACTGAGACCCCGGTCATCAAACATGAGGAAATTAAGGTGGAACAAAACCTCAGTAAGAGCCAGGTGAGGGTTATGTTTGGCCTCAGCCAAGGGGCTTTTAGCCAGGAGGGACTTAAGTGTCCTGTTGGTCCTTTCGACAATGGCTTGTCCTTGTGGGTTATAGGGAATATCAAAGGTATGTTTGATTCCCCAGGAGGAAACAAATTTATTGAATTATTGAGAGGAATAAGTGGGCCCATTTTCAGTCTTAAGTGCCCAGGGTACACCCATGATTAACATGGCGGACTTTATAGCTTTAATGGCATGTATGGTCTTTTCCCTTGAGAGAGCTAAAGCATAAATAAGGGAGGAGTGTGTGTCAACTATAATATGAACGAATCTCAATTTCCCAAAAAGGGGGGTAGTGAGTCACATCCATGTATGGTCTTTTCCCCTGAGAGAGCTAAAGCATAAATAAGGGAGGAGCATGTGTCAACTATAATATGAACGAATCTCAATTTCCCAAAAAGGGGGGTAGTGAGTCACATCCATCTGCCAAATGGCATTGGGTCTCAAACCATGGGGATTCACTCCTCCCTTATTAAGGGGCCGGAGAGACATGAGCGATGCACAGGTAACACATGAGAGGACAAGGTGCTTGCATTGGGACATGGGGATTTCTAGGAGGAGTTTATGAATACTCTCAGGGGACAAGTGGAATTGTTGATGTAAAGCTCTTGCTTGTTCTAACAGGCTAGACTGGACTGTCATGATCAGGGCATCTGTGGTGGCATTCCCCCGAGTTAGGATTCCAGGAAGGGTGATATGTGAGCAGATATGTGAGATGTACCATGGGTGACTTCTATTTTCTAGGCATTCCCATAGCTTGACCATAGTGAGGTGTAGTGGGGTGAGGGGTTTTTAACATGAGAAAAGGCAATGACCTTAGTAACCAGAACAGCATAGGTGCTATCAGAAAAGAGACTTAGGGGTTCATCCTGGCACTCTGCTAAAGCTTTAAGTGTAGCAAGAAGTTCTCCCAACTGGACAGAGCCAGGATTAGGGATGATGTGGGTGATATCCTTTTTCCTAGGATGATGTATCAGGACCCCAAAGTTCTTCTTATTAGCGTCTGAAAAGGCAATGGTCACTTGGGGAATTGTGGAAGAAGAAGGAAAGCTGTGGGGCTTAACTTCAAGTGGCAATGTGAGAAGGGCCTGAATTCTTTTGTCTTGGGGCAGGTGATTGTCAGTGGTGCCAGGGAAGCCTGACATCATGGTCTGAAAACTAATGGAATTGGCCCAGTGTGCCTGTAGGTTATTGGGGGAGAAAGGGGAGCACAATAGCGTTGGGTTCTCTAATGAAGGTTTTTCAAGCTTGAGTGCACAGTTTGACTGCCAAGTTAAAGGCCAGATCAAACTTGGAGGAAACCTGCTGGAGCTCTGAGTATGAGAGAGTATATCGGATCCAAATGTCTTGTGCTTAGTGAGGGACTTCCGAAGGCTGTGACACCTTTGGCCATATGTTCACACGGTGTCTCTGGGACAGGCAACAGGATGACCTGAATCCTAGGCTCTGAGTTTGGGGTGGATCAGCCCTTATATGAACTCATCAGGATGAGCTGAGAAGGGAAAGGTGCCGACGTGGGTTTCGGGACCACGCAGCAGAGTGTGCCTTCCTGATTTAACAACAAATATGACAAACAGGGTAGAGGGGACAGAAGAGGGGGCCATTCACTCACCCTTGAGCAGCTGAAGGGACAGATGAAACCAGGGGCCTACTCACTGAAGGAACTGAAGTTGGGGGCATCTCCAATGCCAGGGGGCCGGGAACCTTGTTTGGGAGCCAGCTGTTGCAGGTTTCCTCAGCTCCTCCTCCTCTTCTTGCCATTGCAGTTGGTACTGGAGCAGCCCCGGCGTGTACCGAGTGGCTTTTTTTTTTTTTTTTTTTAATTTTTGAGAGGGAGGTTGAATACCCCAGTGGGCTGGTGGCCGGTAGGCAGCAGCAGCAGTGGCAGCTGAGAAACAGGGACACCGACAAGATAGTTGAAGTATTGATAACACCAAGCAAAGCTGTCCCTGTTTGAAAAGATAAGCCAGCTTGATTCCCAGGCACTAGAGGAAAAGCAGGAAAAATGGCATTGCACCATCATCACTTCATCACAAGAAGAAGAAGGTTTTCACATTCCAGCATCCCATGAGAATTTTTGTGAATGATGAATGCCATGTGATGGCATTCCTCAGTGTACCCAACGCAAGAGGAGCTGGAGGCTGTGTAGAACATGGTTTCCCACAATGAACGGGCCCTCAAGGCTGTGTCTGATTGGATTGATGAGCAGGAGAAGGGCAGCAGTGAACCCTCTGATGCCGAAAATATGGATGCACCCCCCGATGATGAGAGCAAAGAAGGGACTGGGGAACAGAAGGCAGAACACATGACTAGGACCCTGAAGGGTGTGATGTGGGTTGGCCTGGTAGCCAAGGGTCTTCTGCTCATGGGGATCTGGATCTGGAGCTGGTTCTGCTCTGTAAGGAGAAGCCCACAACTGCCCTTCTGGACAAGGTGGCTGACAACCTGGCCACTACTGTAACAGAAGACAACTACGAAATACTCCCGTCTGTGGATGATGCTGCGATTGTGATAAAAAATATGAAAGAGCCCCCTTTGTCCTTGACCATCCACCTGACATCCCCTGTTGTTAGAGAAGAAATGGAGAAAGTATTAGCTGGAGAAACGCCATCAATCAACGACCCCTGGACATTCTGGACAGGCAGAAATACCTTGCTGTCTTGGTGTCCCTTCGACATGCCAAGTGGTTCCAGGCCAGAGCCAACGGGCTGAAGTCGTGTGTCATTGTCATCCGTGTCCTAAGGGACTTGTGTACCCACGTGCCCACCTGGGGTCCCCTCGGAGGATGGCCCCTGGAGCTGCTGTGTGAGAAGTCCATTGGCGCAGCCAAAAGGCTGATGGGTGCTGGCGAGGCCCTGCGGAGAGTACTGGAGTGCCTGGCATCTGGCATCGTGATGCCAAATGGTTCTGGCACTTATGACCCTTGTGAAAAAGAAGCCACGGATGCTATTGGGCATCTAGGCAGACAGCAATGGGAAGATATCACACAGAGTGTGCAGCATGCCCTGTGTCTTGCTGCATTTGGCCAGCTCCATAAAGTCCTGGGGATGGACCCCTTGCCTTCCAAGATGCCCAAGAAACCAAAGAATGAGAACCTAGTGGACTATATTGTTCAAATTCCTTCTAGTACCACCTATGCCATCATGCCCATGAAATGCCCCATGGAGGAGGATGGGGAGGAGAAGTCCCCCAGTAAAAAGAAGAAGAAGATCCAAAAGAAAGAAGAGGAGGTGGAGCCTCCCCAGGCAATGAGTGCTCTAATGAGGCTGAACCAGCTGAAGCCAGGCCTGCAGTATAAGCTGGTCTTGCAGACAGGCCCTGTCCACGCTCCTATCTTCACTATATCTGTGGAGGTGGATGGTAGTTCCTTTGAGGCCTCTGGACCCTCCAAAAAGACCGCCAAACTGCACGTGGCCATAAAGGTGTTACAGGACATAGGCTTGCCAACAGGTGCTGAAGGCAGAGACTTAAGCAAAGGGGAGGACTCAGCTGAGGAGTCTGATTTGAGGCCCACAGTAGTAGCCCCACCCCCTGTGGTAGAAGCTGTTTCAACACCTAGCTCCACCTTCACTTCAGACACCACTACTGAGCAGGGCCCGATACTGACTAAGCATGGCAAGAACCCAGTTGTGGAGTTCAATGAGAAGAGGCATGGCCTCAAATATGAGCTCATTTCTGAGACCAGTGGCAGCCATGACAAGAGATTTGTCATAGAGGTTGAGGTGCTGATTCAAACAAAAAGGAGGCGAAGGCTTATGCTGCCCTTGCCACATTGGAAAAACTTTTCCAAGATCTCCCCTCACCCTTGAAGCCAAGAAGAAAAAAAGAACTCCAGTACCTGTCAGAGGTGGACCCAAATTTGCTGCCAAGCCACACAACCCTGGCTTTGGTATGGGAGACCCAATGCACAATGAACTTCCTCCATCCCCTAATTTCTGTGACTGGGCCTGAGGGGGCAACATCCATGGCTGAGGTGGGGGTGAGCGGCACAGAGTCAATACACAGACACCGGGAGTCAGGTGAAAGCAGGCACTAGGCAAGGTGCTGCAGACTTGTTTATTGCTGGAAAGGGCAGGCCTTATATATCTCTCCCCCTGCCCCCAGTGTCCCATAAGCTGGTGTGTCACTCCCTGATAGATCCCCTCATCCAGGCCACTCATGTCATCAGTCTCTAGGTCAGGAGGCAGATTAGGTTGGCTCTTTTGCAGAAGCACGGGCTGTGCTCTCAAGGTGGAAGGTGTGTTCTCTAGCACAGCCTGTGCTTAGGCCTGGCACTTCCTCTCCTACAATGTGGATAGCGCCCTGAGCAAGAGACCCTGAAAGAAGTGAGGGCAGGTCAAACAGCAGGAAGGCAAAAATTTAGTGGGACACCCTCTTACTGAGCTCTTTTGCTCTATGTGCTATCTATCTATCTATCTATCTATCTATCTATCTATCTATCTATCTATCTATCTAATCTTTTTGAGACAGGGTCTCCCTGTAGTCAGAGCTGGCATAGAACTTACTCTGTAGACCAGGCTGGCCTTGATTCCACAGAAATCCACTTGCCTCTGCCTCCCAAGTCCTGGGATCAAAGGCATGTGCCAGAAAGCCCAGCTTTGGTATTTTATTTTTAATGCAGAGTTTCACATATTCCAAGCTGGCCTCAAACTCACTGTGTAGTCAAGGGCAACCTTGAACTTCTGATCCTCTTGCTTTTTTTTCTTGAGTTCTGGGACTATAGACATGTACAGCCACACCTGGGTTGTGTAGTGCTAGGGATATAACCCAGGATTTTGTGCCTATTAGGCAAACATTCTCCAACTGAGCTATATCCCCAGTCCTCAATGTAGAATTTTGAGATTAATTTCTATTGTGAGAATCAATATGTATGTTTTCATTCATTGTTTATATAGTTCTCTAATTTTGTTGATTTCATATTACCAATAACCAAACATCTAAAAACACACACTATAGTTTGGATATGGTTTATCTTTGTAAATGCAAGGATATGATATATGACTATGGATAATTTGGCTGGTTTTGGCCAACTTCTTGTTGGGTCTATGCAGCCATTGCTTTTAACTTGTATGGTGGCTGAGGAAGAGTTTGGGCTGGAGGAAGAGCCTCAGATCTGCTGTTTCCTTATGTTTTAGCATTTCACATTATGTGCACCCTAATATAGCTTTGCAGGGATCTTTAAAACTCTTATGTTCACTTTGTGAAGGCTAGTTTAGCTTAGATAATATGGGTCATGGATTCTCCTAACTGGGTGTAGCTTACTGACATAACTCTAACACATGAGAGACGAGGAGTTACTTAACAGTGTTTCTGCCTTGGAGAACTCGCTCCACTCCACCACTGGTATATATGGCTTTCTGGCACTCAAAGTGACAGTCTCTGGTTTATTCTGTATATTAAATGTGAGTGTGAGAGGAAAGGAACTAGATTTTAAAAAATTATTTATTATTTTTTATCTTTATGTGTATGACTGTATTGCCTGCATGTATGTAAGTGCACCCATGCCGTGCAATGACCATGAAGGTCGAAAAGGGTGTTGGATCCCCTAGAACTGGAGTTGTGGATGGTTGTTAGTTCCCATGTGAGTGCTGGGAACTGAACCCCGGTCCTCTGCAAGAGCAGCCAGTGCTCTTAACATCTGAGCCATCTCTCCTGCCCCAGGAATCAGATTTTTCAAAAAAATCAATTGGGTTCTAAAGCTTGGAATATGTATTAAGACTTCACATAGAATCACAAGCTACAATGAGTTGGAATTCTCTGAAGCAGCTGTGTCTATATCAGAAACGCTGTAGTGTTGGTCTTGGCAGCCTGTGAAGAGATGGAAGGGTGTAGGTCAAGAGCAAAATTATCTTGGGGTATTTTGGTTCCTTTTACTTTATTTACCATACCATATTTACTTTAACTATTGCCATAGCCTTCTCTTGAATTTTAGGAAGAACTCCTGAAATGCCCTGCTAAATTTGACATGTCTCTACCACTGACTCCACGCCTCACCAACTGCAAAGTTAAGAATAGCCTGTTAAAGAAAAACATTAAATACTATAGATTTCCCTAGTTGCTGTAGTCACCTTACCTGATAACTCTACCTGTACTCTCTGGGATGTAAATGCATAGTTCTGGAGTTAATCTGTGCATTAAATGCTACTGTGAGAGGGGAGAGCTTTTCTGAGTATAAGAATTCACATAGCCTTTCCCATAGTGGAGCACGCCATTCGGGACCTTGAATCTGTGGTCCTGAGCCATGCTCACTCAGATTCAGCTAATAATAAACTATTTTCTTAAGTCAACATTGGTACGTTTATGTCTACACTAGTAAGTCTTCATTTTTAGAGGACAATAAATATAACAAGTGCATATTAAAAGCTCTGATCTCTGCAGCATAACGAATCATCTCTCTTTCTCTTACCTTATACACTTCTCTCTTCAAGCACCATTAGTGAAATGGATGCAATACTGTCCTTTAAACTTTCATTTTGTTTTGCTCAAGGTTTTTGAGATGGGGCCTCACTCTGTAGCTTGATCCAGAATTCATTGCAGCCCTCCTGCTCCAGACTCTTGAGTACTAGGATTATGTAGCGGGCACTGTGCCTGGCTTTCTAACATTGTGATAGCCACCTATCCTACTTGAGTTCCTCTTCCAGACTGCTTCCAGGCTTAGTGGGGTAAAACATATATCTAATTAGGGTATTTTTCAGGTCTGCAATTGCTTGACACCCCTCCCTCCTTTTCTAGCTCTGTAATCCTATGGCATACTTGTTCAGGTCGGTGGATAGTTGTAGGACTCAGTTCTCTTCCACCGTGTGGGTCCTGGGGTTAAATTCAGGTTGTCAGGCTTAGTAGCAAGTGCCTTTACTTGCCGAGCCATCTCACCATCCCCATCTCTTTATGCTTGCATTTTATGCTGATTCCTCCCCTGCTAGCAATCTCCTGGTTGTCTTCTACTCCTCCAACCTGCCTGTTGCTACCTGTCCATGATCTGTACTGTTGAAGCCTCCTTGTTTTGTTCACTTGGCTTTCTTGCTGAGAATATCCTCTTGCAAATTATCTGCAAGGAAAATATTTTCTCTTCTTTTTCACTAATTTTTTTCTGGTCTTTTTGACACAGGGCCTCCCTGTAGCATCAATTGGCCTAGAACTCACTATGTAGATCAGGCTAGCCTCCATCTCACAGAGTCCATTTTTTTCAGTGGAATCTTTTCTCTCTGAAGAGAGCATCTATAGCATCTATATTATATAATTAGATTCTGACTTTAAGAACGATACTAATCTTTGACCCTACATTGAATTTTTTTTTCCTTTCTCAGTGTTGTTGAGTCAGGAAAACTAAATTCTGAGCAGTAGAGGCTTTTATACTTGGCCAAGAATACAAGAAGCAGAGAGAAAAGCTCACAGACTAGCTTGTCAAGCCACTGGAGGTCAGAGAGTCATAGATATAGGAGCACAAGTGAAAGAAATGCTGGGCTAAAGGAGCTTAGTTCGTGTTCTTTTTTTTTTTTTTTTTTGCTGCTGCTGGGAGTTTGGGTGTTGTCTCTTTTTGCTTCTTTTGGGGTTCTTTTTAATGATCCTCACAGCAACTGTTAGCTGCCATGAACTGTGGGATGTCACTCAGCATGCAGATGGGATTATGATGAGGTTAGAAGTTGTTTGGCATTCAGTCTGGTGGCCATCTTAGATCCACCCAGTTCTGGCTGGTCCACCTAAAGAGCACGTCTGGCCTACAGGCATCCTGTAGGGATGTTGGGAGTTGCAGCCATAAAAAATAACCTAAATAGATATGCATTTTACCTCAGAGATGAACAAGTTTAGGGAAGGTATAAGTTCAGGTAGGCTGGCAAGGCAGTACAAGACTAGGCCAGGGTAACAAGACCTGCCCAGTTTCTGGTTCTTGTCCTTGAAATCCCTCAGTATCACTGAATCTGGGATTTATCAGAAATTCACATGTTCTTACCTTTCTTCTTTAAGCTAGCTTTGCTGGATTCCTTTTCATTCTTGAGGACTAGCAGTCTCCTTTCTCATACATAACTGCATTCTTAATACCCTCAAAACTCCATCCAGACATCTTCAAATGTCTAAGCACACTTGTTTTCATGTGTCTAAGTGGATGTGAGTTGAGGTCCATAAACTACTGATCTTCATTTATTGATCTTTACTGCAGACCTTAGAAGAAAGCAAACAAAATTCTTTTGGTATGAATAGTCTTAATACTGAAGTAACTACACTGGGTCTGGTTGAAATAACCAAATTATAGTTCCATCATGAGTACCAGAGTTTGTATCCGTTTCCATGTCAAGTGGTTCACAAATGTACCTCCAACTCCAAAGGATCTGATGCCATCTTCTGGCTTCTCTGGGAACCCTTGAGTGTGTACACACATATTTGCATACACACACACACACACACACACACACACACACACACACATATGTATATATATATATACATAATACACACTGAAAATAAAAATAAATCTTAAAAAAGCCAAATTAGCCTTTGCTTCCTGGGCCGAACAGCCTCCAGTGTCTTGGTGCCAGCACCCTTCCTGGGTAAGTCCAGTGTGCCCACTGGGCCTTGACTCACCCAGCCTCTTTCACCCCCCTCCCAACTCCCCTGCCACAGCTCTCCTCCTAGCCTGGGTAATGGCCCATTTCTTGTCTTGGCACCTTGGACACCGGGGCTAAACTCTCGGCCCAGAGCCACCATTGCTTCCTGATCCTTTGCATCCAGACCAACCTAGTTTCTCCTGTGGTCCCTCTGGGCCTGGTCCCGCCCCCACCTACCTTTTTCCCTGGGCTGCACAGCCTCTAGGCATCTGGTGCCAGCATCATTCCTGGTCCCCAGGAGCCCTCTGGACCAGGTCCCACCCTCATATCCCTTTGCTTCCTGGGCTGCACAGCCTCCAGTGCCCTGGTGCCTGCACCTTCCCGGAGTAAGTCCAGCATGCCCACTGCACT